TACAGGAACCACGAATAATCCAGGAGGAAAATACGCACTTTTTTCCTAAAAATTACCATTTTCAACTTCCGCACTGGGAAATTTTTAACTTTTTTAAATTAACATTTTCAGCTTTCAACATTTCCAACTTTCTAAAATTGATATTTTCAATGCAAGCTCACACAGATTTTAAGCTATAAGAGAAAACGTCCACAAATGATGATTTACCTATGTGAGCCGCCCATACCATTGATCATTTCACTGGTCAATTTCATCGGTGGTGGCGCAAACGGTTTTGGATCACGTCCAAGAATATAACCAAAATCCACATGAAACATTTTCCCGTTTTCACACAACAAAAGATTGTGCAAATGTCGATCACCTAAACAGGAACATTTAGCTGAATATCTCGCTCTGACAAGGCAAAATCCAGTCACTTGGTACCTAAGTTTATAACATTCCAGGAACAATACTCAGACAAAACCTGAATGAGAATAACTACTATTACGAATCTGATTACGATATATTACTGATGATTAATGAGAATTGATTTTGCTTTTCTTTTTCAGGATTTACATGGCTCTGACTTTCCAGGGTAACGATCAGCAAACGGACATACACGTGCACACACACACACACATACGCACACACATACGCACACACGTACGCACACACAGACATAAACGCACACAGTCGTGCGCACACGTACACACACATGCGCACACGTACACACACATACACACACACACACACCAAGGTATCCTCGAAACCGGTTAAACTTTCCTAACGATGTTTTTTCAAATCAAATCAGTCGTTGAATCCGTTGAGCTGACAACCGATTTAAAACATGGAATGAACATCAAGATCATCAAAGAATGACCATAAAGCGAATCGCAGCATTGGTCAAAACAAACGAGAAAGTTTATAGCTGCATGTTCATGTGTGTGTGTGTGTGTGTGTGTGTGTGCGGGTGTGTATGGGTGTGTATGAGGAGGACCAGAATATAAATTATAGCTGGTCCGAATTTTACTTATTTTTTATACCACTTAGAAAAAAAAAGTTTACAATCAACTGGAGAAAATGCAGCATCAAACTGTAGTAATCCAGTACCATCATATATGAAATCGGTCCTAGTTTTCTCAATTTGATACAGACAAACTGCTTTTGCCATATATCACAAAAAAAACCTAACATTCCACAAAAAGCCTGTAAAATCCTTCTGAACATGCGAAAAACCGCTTACCAATTCCCAAAATATAGCAAATTATAGAATATCCAGCACAAGAGCGCACATAATTTTCGATAACTTCTGTTTCAATTCCAAATGGGCCACTGTGAGAGGGGCGAAATGATCGTAAGCATTCCTGCAACAGCGCATACTTTCAGATTACTAGTTATACCGCGAACAAAGGTTCCTTCGCAAATAATGATATGGACCGGAAAGGAATTGAATCTTTCATTTTCACTACCTACGAATCCTTCGAACTGAGTCGCGTGTTATCCATTACACTACCGGCCCTTGTGCTTCATGAAGCAGCTGGAGCACTTATACCTGCATGTACGTCACTTATGAGGCGAATCAAGGCGGGGAAGGGAGGCGGGCGTCTTTAGTTCTCCCCCCCCCCCCCCCCCCCCCCCCCCCCCCCCCCCCCCCCCCCCC